ATGAAGAGCTCTTGAATTACTCTCGCTCTGAGAATCCTACTACATTTACCAGTTTAGCTCCGCACGCATCCGCGCGCATCACATGGAAGACTCCTGAGAAACCAACAGTAAGATGTTTGGAAGATGTGTCACATGAATTTCAAAGGCTGTCCAATTTTGCTGAAGATTGTCGCGTAATGCGCGCAGTAGCATGCGGAATGAAAATGGTACTTATCATGACTTCGTAAACATTTAGCATTGATATCGAGCTCGGATGATTTAGCGGTTTATAGAATTTCCACAATTGAAGAATCGGTGTGTAAGTGAAATATAACCAATCAATCAGCATCTAACCGAGCTATGATGAAAATGGAATTTGCTATTGGTCCAAGTCCAGATAGTTGAGCAGCTCAACTTTCTTTGCTTCTTTAGATGAAAGGGTAGGAATGGAACATATTCACGTGCTAGGGACCTGGTTTAGTTCAACTGAGTGCACGCTCAACTGTCGCTACTTTTATCAGTACAGTTGCCGCTCATACCACTTTCTGTCACCTACATTCAACCCTCGCCACCTTGATCGCTTGCCAGTGATAATTGCAACGAAGTTGGAGAGACCTGCATTCAAACGCTCTTATCATTCCTTGTCATTTGTTATCAGTTCATACTGTTCGCAATCGGTGTCCCGGTCCCAACCTCCAGGCAACGTGTAGGAGCTAATATTTACTGTCACCACGAAGGCTGCAACGAAATTAGCAGTACTCAAAATCCTAACTTCCTTATCAACCGTTATCGCTTGTTATCACTTGATCATCCGCTATCCGTGTTCCCGTCCCATCCCCTATACCACATGTGAGAGCCAAGGTTCCAATGTAACCGCAAGGGCCGCAACGAAACTGGTGGTATCCACACTTTGACGCCCCTTATCAGTTCTTATCAGTTGCTACCACATTCGTTCACTCAACTTCTTGGTCCCCGCCTCACCCCACATATCATACATGAGTGCAAACTCTCCACCGTCAACGCGAACGGTGTAACGAAATTGGTGACATCAACATTTCGACGTCCGTTATCAGCTCCTATCAGTAGTTATCACTTCCCGCCACCCGTCATCAGTGTTCACCTCCGGCCCCCTATATATCCTAGAAGTTTGAGCGCTCTGGGTCCAAAGGGGGTGAAGTTATGAATTTCCGGTCAGACACACACACACACACACACACGCTTAGCCGATTATATATAGTAGAACTTCATAGTGGCCACCTACGTGGACGGCATCAGAAGAATTTGCCCTGGAAACATGGTGCACTGGTCGAGCTCAATGGGGTCTTCGAAGGATCGTGTACCATAACGACCTTTACTGGAAAGCTAGTTCCGAGGGGATTTGCACAGTGGTAGCTAATGCCTCTAGAAAACTATCCAACATTGAATCGATTCACGAAATTGCGTAAGAGCTTCAGGCTGAAGCAGTTACGGTAGGCCTCCTTGAGCTTGACGACGATGACAGATGACGTCATATTCTGAAGACGAGGGCAGTGAAGGAGGGCCTGCGTTCACTTATAGAGGGACACTTAGGGAATACTCTGCTGAGGAACTTCCCGTCAACGACGGCAATCTCTGCGAAGAAAAAAGAGCCGAAGTGCCGACATGGGCAAAATGTCTTTTTTGCCACCCCCACCCCCTGTACGCTTGAATGTTGCGGGATCCTATTCTCTTCTCCTACGCGTTCATATACCCTTACTTTTTTATAGGATAGGACTTACGGACTATCACTCTAGCGATATTAATCAGTAAGAGCGCACGGTACTCATCGACGTGATATGATAACTGCGGATAAAGGATAAAGAGTGAAGCATTTGGCGACCGATCGACCTTCTTAGGATGCTCCAGGCAATTTTCTTCCACTCCGTAATGGCATTTGAATGCACTATTACAGTTTTACAGTGACGTGCAGAGGCCAGCTGATGCACAAGTCAGTATTGTTCAGTTCCCAGACAAATCTGGCACCAATCGTCTACTCCGGATGGAGCCTCTGTTGATTTGGAAGGGGTACGGTCCACGATTTAATCTCCAGATCATGCGCGTGTCAAACACAACTACTTGTTACCATACCATTTTCGCCATGTTTTAAATATGATGTATTTGTAACATTCGTGAGTTGCTATTACAAAGTAACTTGGCACCACCTAACCTTTACTGCTCAACTGTTCGTAAATTTACCACATTTTTTCTCGAAATTTGTTCCTATGTGTGATGTTAACCTAGAATTTGCCCTCGAAAACTAGGTAACTCAGTTATCGCATTCGTTTCGTGAGTGAGGCCAACGCTTCTGCCAAGGGTGCCAGCCTTGAAACACCTTGAACCAGCAATCATTAACACCTACCCCAGAGGACAAAGTTTCAGTTGAATCTTCGCTTGGAGATGAATTTCGATAAAAATCCTACTCATTTTCTGAAAAGCTGTGCAGCAAGTGGTAAGCCCGAAACACCGGATGTTGTAATTTCACTGCTTGCCTAGGCAACTTTTTTCCTGGCCGAAAGGCGGTTACACCTGTTGCTGAAATGAGACAGGTTTACCTATCCGGCTATATTGGTCTCCCAGTCCATCACGTTTCTCTGACCTCAATCCTGTGTGTACCTTGATGGTGTGGCACCTTGTGAGTGTAAGGCATGTTTTTTCCACTTTGCGCAAGGTTATTTCTGATACTAAAAGTGCACTATCCGTTCGTCATCATTATTTATTTGGATGCTCCGCCAAAAGTGGAACTGAACTAGGACGCGCTGGCCACTATTGGCGCTAATGTGATTACTTCTGTTTCTCATGGACCTTTTCAACTGCTCTTGAATGCGCCATACTCTTGACTTCTTTCGAAAACTACTTGTACTTCGATTATGTACTGGACGCTGTTTCAGGCGATTCGATTACAGTAGCCTGACATTTTATTTATTGTGACACGTGACAGTGGACGCTGTTTGAAAGTGGCGGGCTTCCTTTAAACGTTGGGTCCCGCACCAGGGTGAAAATCGTGTCGAGGAAATAACCGCCTCTTTACGACCCCCCTCCAAAACATGGACTCTGATACGACCCCTTTTTGTCCTCTGCACATCCGGTTTCATATCAAAAAATGCTAGTTTCAGATGTGCGAGAGGGACGCAGCGCCGCTGCCACGCAAATGCGGCTTGATCCAAATGCTAGATTCAATTCTGCTCAGATTAGGTTCTCCTTCTTTCCTTTAAAGACATTTAACCTTTGCCACATTGGCCGGAAAGTAGAACATTGAAGGAGGTACTGCCCCTACACAGTTGAACAGTCTCGCGCTCCAGTATAGCGGCGCTAACTACCCGCGATCGCGTCGCGCGCTGTGCCTAGAGCGCGCTAGTTGGAAAAATCGTCAAATGTACCCCCTATTTAAAGGACTATAACTTTCTTCATTGATAACCATTTCAGAAAGTGAAGGCAGCTTTTGAATGCACAAGACTTCTAGTTTCTAAATTGTGCTGAGCGTTTTTCTAAGCACGCCTATTCTCGAGAGTGGGAGACGTCGAGAAATTGTCGAGGAAATTGAAATTTACATGCGAGTTCCCACTCTTTGGAAGACAGTAGCTGTCTTCATTGCAATGCTTTGTCGTGGTTCGGGAGCGGTTGCCCTCCTAACCCTCCAACACGACGCATCGAGGTGGTTCGGGGCCCCCGTGGCCTTTCCCAGGCACACGTCGTTCTACGGGTCCTTCCCGGGGATCATGCGGTTTCCCGCACGCATGACCTCCGCACCCCGGGGCCTTACAGGGTTCCTAACCCAGGAACGGGGGGTTACAGGGCCATGCCCCGCGGTAACAACCCCTTGATGCACGCAGCACATGATGACCTATTGCGCCTTAACCGGGCCCCAGCCCTGGCGCTCCCCCAAGCTTACCCGTGCTGCTATACTTGTACACAACACTACACATCTTGGACTCATAGTTTATTGGCGATAACGTCCTTAACGCACTACAACTTAACTTCCTGCCGAGCGTGGAGAAGCCCGGCCAACGCTTGTAGTGTCTGCAGCCAATAGCGGTAACTGCGGTAACATCGGCCTGCAGCCGATAGTGTCCCTCGGGTGTGTAGCGGGACACTAACTTACCAGCGCTCCGAGCGAACGGGACAGCATGCCCGAACATGCTGACGGGTGCTAGCAGGCACCCCTAGCCGTTCGCCTTCCTCGCGTTGCCCGACGACCGTCTCTCCCGGAGGAGACGAAGAGCGCCGACTGGCAGAGGCGACCCTTTATATAGGCCTCGGCTGGAGGCGTGGCCGGAGGCGGAGCACGCGCCTCTCGCCGGTGCGTGCGCCGCCAAGCGACCAACGGCGCGACAGGGGGCCGGGCGCGCGGTGCGCCCACGACCGTCGTCGCGAACCGCGACACTCCCGAGCGCAAAAGAAAATTGCCCACGGGGGTGTGCCAGCGACGGTGGCCCTGGGGGGATCGAACCGAACGTCCGGTCTGAGGCCCCGGTACAGCATTGAGCCACGGCGTACAGGCGGTAATGCGTTGAAGCGACTATACGAAGCCTACCTACGCAGTCCCTAACTGACATAAAACTCATGACAACATAGGGGCGCCATAAGGGCAGCCCAAGAGGAGTCCAAAAACATACAACGCAAGAACCGCAAAGGGACACCTTAAGGGTGTCCAAAAAACTACAACTCAAGGCAATACAACACCGAACAGCAATGCATGGGGAGTGCCTTAAGGGCACTCCAGAGAAAACCAGGAGCGGCGCCTTAAGGGCCACCGCTAAAGAACATGGGAGTACCTTAAGGGTACTCCAAAAACTGATCATCTCGACGACTTCCATCTCGAATCTCGATTTCGAACCTGCTGCTAATCTTGAGCTTCCGCTGCGGACTGGGTATCCTTGGCTTTGCTCTCCTCGAACTGACGATGATATAACGTGACGTAGGAATTTAGTGTCGTAATGAATACGTCGTAGGTGCCACGTGCCCATCATCGTCGTCTGTCCTTGCCCATTTTGTCGATCGACCTGAAATCGAGAGGATTAGTCACTGATGAAAGGAGTTGAGACAATTGGAAAATGCATTACCATTTAGTGACGAATCCTCGATCGGTGTTGCACAAAGCGGCAACAATGCGGCAACATCGAACAAACCAAGGCGGTAACTCTTCATCACGGCAGAAACGAATGATCACGCTCGGGTCGAGTCCCTAACGATCACCCGAGCGGTAACAGACAGACTAAAGATAGCGGTAACTTGCTGCCTTATGCAGCTCAATATGGACGTGAGCGGTAATCTCCTCTCTTGGAGGGAGGACCTCTCGATCGGCCCCGTTGAGAGGCTGATCGACCTCTACGACGGTTTCGAGAGCGAGAGCGTTGCCTCACAATTTGGCTCGGCTGTCTCGCTTCCAAATCCCGACTCGTAGGAAAGTATGTATCTCTGGCGACGTCCTCGTAAAAGCGGGAAGCGTTCGTCGTAATGTCGACGATGACGTGTCGGTTGAGCACGCAGATCGCCTGATGATGGCCTCTCTGAGAGCACAACAGACACTTTTCTCTGCGGGAACAAACACCGTAATGCTGTTTCAAGCAATTACTACAGATCGCACAGTCCCTGAGAACGTTTGCTCTCTCGGTTATGCGCCTGTAGTAATGACATTCGGCGGAAAAATGTCTCCGGCTAGAACAAAATACGCACGGAGGCTGAGATTCTGTGGGTGTCTCTTGCAGTGGTGGAGAAGGAGGTTGTCTTGAAGGACCTCGAGCTCTACCACTGTCCGAGCGACCCAACGAACCTTGGCGGTAACGACGACTTCCAGCTTCTACTGACGGTCCACGTCCCCCTCTCACATTAGAACTGGACGCACGTCCATCCTCCCGAGAGCGGGACGAAGTGGGCTCGTCAGCAGGAGATGACATAGGTGCTGAAGCTGAAGTCGTTTGAATCTGCGGCGTACGAGGGCCAAAACCTCCAGACTTGAACTTAGGCTTAGGAGCTGGAGTTGGCTGTGGCGGTAAGTCAGACTCTAGCGTGTGCGCATACTGTTCGGCGTTCTTCGAGACGCGATCGATGACTTGTTTAGTCTGATCATGACTCAAAGCACGCGAATAGTTATTGCGCCACCACTGTAACGTCTGCGTGAAATCTACATCAGTAGTTGGTAGATCACCGGGAGGAGCATGCTGAACATCCGCAATAAAATTGTGGGCGTCTGCCTCTCCTCCTCTAAGATCTGCGATAATGGCTATCTGTGCAGTCTCTATCGCACGCAAATATCTTGTTAAAAACGCACTCAACCCTGAGGCGCGTGTTAACACCGATGAAATGTGTGCGATCGAGATCTTGCATCGTCGGAGTGCATCCTGTAAGCGCCAGCGGTAAATAGCAAGAAGCAACTAGGGCAAACGAGCAAATGAGGGGGGTTTCTTACCTGGAATGAAGCCTAAAATGTCTTGCTCGTTTTGCCTTCCTAGGAGGCTGTATTTTAGGCGGTAACGGAGGGGATTTTGGTACAACAGTTTCTACAGGGACGTGGATCTCAAGAGGAACAAGATGATTAACCGAGCGATCCACGAGGGGTGTTTTTTGCGGTACGAATTTGGACGGACCTGATGGAGCTGTCCTTGGAAACGTGAAGGCGTGTGACAACGGCGAGAGGCCAATGGGCTCTCTCGGCGTGTCTTCCGTCTTGACGATTACAAGGTCTCCAACGGCTGGCTGTAGCCGTGATCCGTGCGAATTCTTGGCCAGTTTCTGTTGGCGTTGGGCGAGTGACTGAAGGTAGTCCTCACGCCAAAGCTTCCAGAAGTGGTCAAGTGCGGTAACCAGCATATCATGATTCTCGCGAAGCGCCTCTTTCGCCTGCGAATCAGAAAGATCGTAGACGAAAAAAGGTGATTCGCGTGCGTGAGCGGTAAAATGTCCTATATGAAAATGAGGACTAATAAGGTCGATAGGTCGAAGCGTATTGAACTGCACGGAGGATGCAGCGCTTAACGACGTCAGAGGGCGTGTGTTAAGCGTAGCTTCGATCTCGACGATTAGGGTCTCGAAAAGACGAATGTCCGGCACATTCGTGCGGACCGTTTTGGCCAAAGCGTTCTTCACTACGCCGACCAGTCTCTCATAGAATCCTCCCTTCCACGGTGAAAGTGGAGTGATGAAGTCCCAATGGAGGCTGTTCTTCGTAGTAAAGTCCGTTACGGCCGTATCGTCTGCGAACCGAAGAAGTTCGTTAGCGATAACGTCTCGCCCTAACTTGAATGTCGACGCATTATCGCTAATGAGAAGATCTGGAGTTCCTCTCCTAGCGATGAAGCGACGAAAGGCGAGTAAAAACTCATGAGCGGTATTATTGCGAACAAGTTCAAGATGTAAGGCACGGGTTGCCATGCATGTAAATAAGGAAACCCATACTTTACAAGTTCCTTGTTCCTGCGCGGTAACTTGAATTGGGCCAAAATAATCTAGGCCAGTATTAAAAGGTCTTGACCTTATAAGTCTTTGTAGTGGCAAATCTGGAGCGGTAGGATAACTGTAAGACGATTGTTTTCTCTTATCAACTCCGCAATTGAAAGAACGCGATATAACTGGTTCTAATAGTGCGCAGGCACTGAAGAACGTAGTCTAAAGCTGGCGGTAACAGATGGCACCTGCATATGGAGCTTGAGATGCCAAGAGAATAACTCGTAAAGGGGTCATTCGATTTCAACAGGATCGGATGTTCCTGTGAAGACGATGTTACCTCTTGACGCATACGGTTATTAACTCGAATAATGCCAAATGAATCGCGGTAAGTATCTTGTCGTGACGAAGTCACGGCTTCTCTTTGATGTTCACGTAGCAGAACAAGTTCTGCAGCCTGATCTTGTTGGCGTTTAGTTCTGCTAGAAAGCGGTAAATATTCGTCAAGGCGCTTTTGCTGCTCTGACGAAAGTTTATCATAGATCGTATGACGAATAAAGCGTAAAACATATGCGGTTATCCGTACTAGGGTATCGTAACGACTAGTACGCGTAAATGGTAGTATGGACTGATGCTGAGATATCGAGGTGACAGTCGTCTCCTTGTACTCAAGATCTGTTTCCAGAATTGAGTCTGGTTGGACTGTAAAGTCGATATCCGCATTCGGCCAATGTGAAAGCGGTAAACAGATATACGGTGGACCTTTCCACCAGATGTGCTCAGAGATCTCTCGTGCTGAGAGTCCTCTTGTAGCACAATCTGCCGGATTGATTTCCGTATTAACGTAGTGGAATGTGGTAACAATGTTGGCATCCTTGAAGGTATCCATGATGGTACGGATTTTCTGGACGCGATTTGCGACAAATGTTTCAAGCGGTCTATGAATGCAATCCAATGGAGCGCTATGTATATTACGAAAAAATCCGAATAGCGTTAACAGAGACTTTGAGTTCCTTATAAAGAAACTGAGCGAGAAGCACTGCGCTATGGCAAGCCATGAGCTCCAGGCGAGGTATAGTTACCTCATCCAATGGGGCTACTCTGGCCTTAGCCATAAGCAAATGTGACCGAACTTGATAGCCGGATCTGCTAAGTAGATAGGCTACGGCGGAAAATGCTTTCTTAGATGCATCTGCGAAAACTAATAACTCGCGTTCGGAATGTTCATCTGTATATGTGATGAATCTGGGTACAGAACATCTATACCCTTCAATTCCGTTAACGAGTTCGTTCCAGCGAGCAACGTCTTGATCGCTTAGGGGTTGATCCCACTCGTACTTAGCTCTCCAAAGATCTTGCAAGAAGACCTTTAGCGGGATAAATAGAGGAGTAAGATATCCTAAGGGATCAAAATTTGATGCGATTGCCCTAAGGACAGTTCGCTTCGTCGTTGCTGCAAAGGAGGCTAATTTAGCGGTAACATGAAGTATGTCTTGATACGGATTCCAACGAATGCCAAGGAGCTTGACAGTGTTGGATGTGATCTTCATGCGATCTTCAGCGGGAATATGTTGCATAACATGATAATTGTTACTCATGAACTCTCGGAGGTTCATGGCCATTCGCTTGAAGATTTGCTTGCAATCTCTCTGCTTCTTAATGCACTCATCGGTACAATCAGATCCAATGAGAACATTATCCACATAGATGATTGTGCCAACACCTCTTCACGAATGGTATTCTCCGAGTCTCGTTCAAGTGCGTACTTGATCGAGATGTTCAAGAGAAACGGTGAAACATTGATTCCGAATACAACACGAGTAAATCGAAGGATACGCAGATTATCCTTGGTCGGCGGACGCGAAACGTCCTTCAACCATAGGAGCCTCGTTGCATCCCTCTGGCTCTGTTGCAATCGGATCTGATGAAAAGCTTTTTCTACATCTGCGATAAGAAGATAGCGTGAAAGACGGGCACGTAATAGTGCTCCTGATAAATCCGGAAGCAGCGAAGGTCCTTGATGCAGACAGTCATTGAGGCTTGGTTGGCCTTTACAATGGCTGGATGCATCGAAGACGATGCGTAAGGCGGTAGTGGCGCTGTCTGCTTTGATGACCGCCTGGTGCGGCATATAGTACACCTTGGGGCCATCAAAGACAAACTCATCAACGTCTTCTAAAATTCCTGCGGTAATGTTTCTGTCGAAGATGGCACAGTATTCGTTCCAAAACTCTTGACGAGTATGGAGAACTTCGTACTGTTGTTCCAATCTTCGAAATGCGAGAGATCGGTTGTCACCTAACGGTGGATGGTCCTGTTTCCAGGGAAACTGGACATATATAACTCCGTCGATAACTTGAACCGTGTCGTAAAAGCGTTTAACGACTTGTCGATTGACTTCATCATCGTGCTCTGTACTCGGATCGTCGTGAATACCTAAGGACTCTAGGTCCCAAAGCTTACGAAGATCGGAGTCCGGAGCCCGTGAATCAGTACAAGAAACGACATTCACAAGCGAAGTAATTGCGTTAACCGATGGAATCATGCGATAATGTTCTTGACCCGATAAAGTCGGACCAAAACGAGTATGTGCGTAAGTCAAGCCTGAAGGAAGTCGGCGAATTCTTGTTGGATCCACAATACCCCAATAGTAATCGATACCAATGAGGATGTCGACATCGACTTCCCCGTCTTGGATCGACGACCTTGAAATATCCGAAGATTTCCACCAAGAATCTCGTTCAGACTCCCTAAGGATATGAGCTTTCGCACGTACTGTTGTGGTGATTTTACGGGTTCTTAATCGGAGACGAATGTTCTTATTCGTCTGGTCACGAAGTACTGCGATAACTGAAAACGACATCTCTGTAGAGACGTGTCCTCCAAAACTGCGTGTAGTAAACGGACGTGGATCGGAGAACCGAAGTCCAAGTCGTTTAGCGGTATCTTCTTTGATGAAGCTATGCTGTGCTCCACTATCGAGCAACATTACAAGAACTTCATCTTTGCGAGTATTCATGTTCGTAGAGATTGAAGTGACCACCATAAGACGAGGGTCGGATGGAAATGAAGTCGAACTGTTGACCGCCGAATTATAAGGCGTGTCAAACAGGTCGGCCGCAAAACTATCCAGCGCGCTCGGCTTAGAGGCAATCTCCGAATCGAACGTAGGTTGCGGTAACTAAGTTTTGTCGCGAATTCGAAGGTGAGCGTCGTCTCGCAGCTGGTTGCGGCGAACGACCTCTCCTCTGAATTCTGTCAGGTTCGCGGAAAGAGACTTCTTTTGACGGATATCGTCTATTTGCGGAAGGTGACCGTGACTGCGGTCTGCGTCTACCAGGAGACGTGCTTGCTAATCTATTAGGTCGTGGAGTAGGATACCTGGTACGACCTGACCATGGACTTCTGCTACGCTCACTACGGTTCTGTACAAAGCACAGCGTCTCGTGATGATCACGTCCACAGATAGTACATGGCGGACGATCACAGGCAGCCGTTTTATGTCCTTTAGCAAAGCATGAACGACAAAGTTTCTCTGCGATAACGACTCTGTTCCTTGTTTCAGGCGTGATAACTAGGTAACAATCTGCGGAAATGTGATCTGTTCTTCTACAAAACACACAGTGCAGCTTTCGCTGTCCTGGGTCTGCAGATCGAACCGGTGTAGGAGATCTACTGCGATAACGATTTGAATCTACGGAAGGGGATCGTTCTCTTCCTGTAGATTGAACAGTCAAGGCTTGCATGTGAGCAGGTTTCTGCTCAGCCGTATCGGCGATAACTTCGAACATCCTAATGGCACGGTCTAGGCCATCGAGAAGCTGTGGAACCCTCCACGGAACGGGATCCGCAGTTTCCAAATTGCCTAGATGCTCCAATGTTCGTTGCGGAAACTTCTGACGTATGAATCGCATGACGTAGATGTTGTCCTCGTGGTCTCCATGCTTCTGGAGCTGGAGCCACAAAGATTTAATCTGCGCCAGCGTGGTGCGTTGATGTAATGCAGAGGTACCAGCCGGCTTCATCTGTTGGAGCCGTGTACTCAACTGCGTGCGAATCAATTGAGGGCGGTAATATGTCTCACGTAAGGTACGCACGGCGTACTCGTAATTCTCTGCGGTAAGATCGTATCCTGCTACTACTGCTAGAGCTTCTCCTTTGAGAAGGCTCTTCAAATGATAAAATTTTACAACTGGCGGTAAAACTGAATTCGAGTGTATGGCCGAGTTGTACGCATCCCAAAAGGATGGAAAGTTTTCGATCTCGCCTACAAAGGTAGGGAGTTCGAATTTTGGGAGACGCACAAATTGGTCATGAGCCGAATTAGATTGAGGCGGTAAATCACTCTTCTCAGGAGGAAGTTCTTCCTCTGAGCGTGCGTGATGTAGCGATAAATTGGACATTGCCCGGGAGACACCTCCCAAGACTTCTTCTCGAGGACCTTGGTCCTGAGGAGTCGTCCTGTTCGGCGCTGTTGCCCTCCGCCGAGCTCGTCCATAACTTCGATCATATGAGCTTCAGCCTGACGAACGTCCTGTTGACGAGAAGGCGGTAAATGCACTTGCCAAAGTCGTAGGTTAACCTCGAGACGATGGAGAAGATCCCGTGCCTGAGCCTGCGCTCGGTCCCCTCCTTGGGTTCGCCAATGGAGAAGGGCCGAATCGTAGACGCTACGGCGCTGATCTCTTCCTTCGCCTTGAGCGATAATCTTAACGACCATTTCCCAATGCCCTTGGGCGCGGTAAAGCGCGTCGCTGAGACTAGAGTGCGCGATCATAAGCTCTTGCACTCTATTCCCTACGAGTGCTGGCGATAACGCATTTTCGTCGTCGTTGTCCAAATAGCCGTCGAGGAGCCTGTCGTCGATGTTAGTGACGACTCTCTGCAGTTCCTCGATTGTTCGTTGCAACTCCTGAAGGAGTAGTCCGTAATCCATTGAATTTGCCATTGCAATTCCGATGGATTTGGACGATGCGACAACACGCTTTTATAGGCAGGCGAGCCTGCAAAGGGGAATCAATGCGCCTGCGGTAATCGGTTTCTGACGCTCTCCTCGCACCGCGTGCTCTCTTTAGCAGGCGCCGACGCCTTATTGAATTGAGTCAGCCTGTCCTCTGAAGGCGCACACACACGGAAAGTAGCTCTATCTCATGAAACCATGTCAAAAGCTGGAAAGCTCCAATCACCGCGATATCGTTTGGAATACGATAATCTGCGTAGACACTTACGCGTACTCGATCGAAAATGAATGGAAATCGGGGACCCAATCGAGCAAAACAAAGGGAATCGATAGGAAATCGACCCAGGATAGCGATAACGGTCGAAAGACGATCAATGCCTGAGGTATTGATCGAAAAACGATCCAAGCGATAAACAAGTGATCGAAATCGATCAATCCAAGGATTTCGACTGATGTCGAGCGATAAATCGATTAGAAAGGAAATCGATGCGATAACAGTGATCGAGTACGATCAACACAGCAATCCATAGTAGTCGAACTGCGAAGGCGTTAACAAAGACTTCCGGGATCAGTCTGAGCGATAACCTGAAACAAAACCAAAGGGAAAAGGGCCTAAAGGAAAGAAGAAAGGAAAAACTAACAAGAAAGAAGCCTAAGAAAGGGGAAAGGAAAGGAAAGGAGAAGATAGTGGGGGGAAAGGGCCAAGTTAGTAGAAGTGGGTGTACCTACAAGAAGAAGGGAACCTAATGGGGGAAGCGCTGCTAAAGGCGCTGAAACCATGTGCTGCACCCTATAAGGGTGAGAACCCGTGGACCTTACCTAAGGGTGGTTGCGGGTTGACCAGACCCTACTTCACCGCCCATTGTCGCGTGTCCCTGATGGGGGTGATCAACCTGGCTCACTATCCTGCTGCTGCATAACCCCACAGCAGCCCCACCTAGTTGCGGTCCCCATTGTGCTCGCACGGAGCAACTCTCCCAACTCGATGCACATACCCCGTGACACCGAGCACTGCAGTTCGGGAGAGCCCCGACCTGAACCCCCTTGGTCCAGACCGGCACCCCCGAGCTCGCCGCATACCCCACGGCGGGCCCGGACCTGGCCGCTCCTCCCTGAGGAGCCACTCCAGGGCCGAGGGGCGACTCCTACTAGGGGATAGTGAGACAGGTCTACCCGTTGCCCGCTCATCGCTCCGGTCAGAGGGGATCCCTAGCGGGAGACAGTAGGCGGCAGGTTGCCACAGTCCTGCGGACTAGCGCTCCCATCCCCTCATCCCGGGCTCCCGGTGTGGGACCCGCGCCAAGGACGGCGGGCTAGGCCTATCTAGGGGGAATTGCACCCAGTGCGCCGAGGGCGGGGAAAACCCGGTGCTCCCTAGAGGCCTGGCTACTACCGAGGCCCGTAGAACGAGCCCGAGGGCCCACCCTAGTGGTAGTGCCATCCTCTGCTCCACTTGGCGGGGGATACTCGGACCCTGGCCCAGCTTTCCAGCCGGGGCAGGCGGGCATCGAATCACGCGGTCGATTGCACCATGTCGTGGTTCGGGAGCGGTTGCCCTCCTAACCCTCCAACACGACGCATCGAGGTGGTTCGGGGCCCCGTGC